GCATTACATACAAATAAAAATAATGTGAATTTGTGCATTGAAAATAATGTGAATTTGGTTAAATAACCTACTGAGCGATAATTCAAATAAATATTAATGTGTGCATCAGTAGTTGATGCAATGTTGAAATGTTGAGTAAACACTTCTTAAAATTAAAATTATTTTTGTAAATCCAGTGGTCAAATGCTGTGTGGCCTCTCTGCGCAAATAGACACCTGACCAGTGACTTGTCTTTGTTTGAATGTCCACAAAACTGGAAGACTTTCTGAATGTATATACGCGGTAGGCTATTTTAGAAAGGAATATTTAAAAGATGAAAAAGAGGAATTAGTGAGAAACAATAAATTATGAATAATTTATTGCTGTTGTGTGAATAATATGTATTCTATAAAAAAGGTAACTGTAGTCTGATTACAAATATTTTAAAATGTAATTTAATCTAATTACAAGTACTTAATTTTTGGAATCTGATTAGTGATTACATAATCCAGATTACATGCAATCAGTTACTACCCAGCTCTGTTCTTACCTTTGTAAGACCAAAGTCTTACAAATGACTTTGGTCTTACAAAGTTATATTCTATGCAAAATTTGTGAAATTAATATATAAATTCAATTAGAACAATAATACACAATTAGACTGTTACCAATCAAATAAAATCCATACCAAAAAATCAATTTTTACACTGCAGAGCACAAAAGCACCATCTGAAGTGCTGTGTAAGTGTATTAACACACAGACTGTTTAATGCAGCTTAGAAGTGGCATAAATGCATTTAAATTTCAAGTACAGTTGCACAATAATACTATGAGATTGTTTTAAAAAATAAAATTTTTGAATGCTGAAATATGAAATAATTAAAAAATAAATTATATTTTTAAAATATGAATCTAAAACTGCTAGTAAGCGGTGGCAAGTCACTGTCTTAATGAGTAAGTCCATTCAGCTGACTCATTCAAATGACTGATTCATTCAGGAATGAAGCAATTGACACTCTTTATGAATGGGACATTGAATCATTCACATGCAGTGTTGGGAAGGTTACTTTGGAAATGTAATAGGTTACAGATTACAAGTTATCCGGCCCCACTTTATATTCAGTGGCCTTAACTACTATGTACTTACATCAAAAATTAAGTACAATGTACTTATTGTGTTCATATTGTATTGCAAAACATTTTTGCTGCTATTGAGGTGGGATACGGGTAAGGTTAGGGACAGGTTTGTTGGTATGGGTAGGTTTAAGGGTGGGTTAAGGTGTAAGGGATGGGTCAACTGTGTAATTATAAATGTAATTACAGAAATTAATTACAGATGTAATTACATGCAGGTATTTTTTTATGTAATGCTTGAGTAAAACACTACCGTTCACTTTCAGAAGTTGTTGTAGGGGTGCTTTCTTATTAGAATCAGAATCAGAATGAGCTTTATTCACCACTTAAGTGTGCGCAAACACAAGGAATTTGTTGTGGTTTTACAGGAGCTCTTGATACATACATACATACAAATAACCATATATATATATGACACAAGATAGTTATAGAAGTTCACAGAACTGACTCAGCAACAGCTGAGTAAAACTGTTTCATCTGAGCATGTGGCACTTTAAGCATTATCATATGGCATATCGAATATCGCATTATTTAATGAGTTATCGCATATCGCATTTTTCTTCAATATCGCACAGCCCTAAGTAGTACTCAACGCTGATTACTGTCAGACATTCAAAATCCTTCATGACTTGAATTAATATTATAATAGTGGAATTTTAAAGCACAGCCACCACAAAATCATACTTTAGCAACTCTTTTTACTTTGAGATCATTAAATACAGATTTAAAATCATAGCAAGAAACCATTTAATAGCTATGGTACAGTTTTTGAAATCAAACCTCTGGATAGCTATAACAGGAAACACTGGCATCTAACAATGCCTCGGAAAAAAAACAAACAAACAAAAAAATAAAGCATATACATAAACCCAAATAGGAAATAAAACGGCTATTGAATAAGCATGTGTCCTAAACTGAAACATTGGTGTCTCTTATTTTACAGCAGTCAATGCAAATTGGGAAATAAATCAGTTAAATCTGTGTGTGTGTGTGTGTGTGTGTGTGTGTGTGTGTCTGGAAATATTAAGATGTATCCCCCCTTTGTAATCTTTAACATTTTCATAAGTAACTGTAATTTAATTACACCACAATAAGTGCATTGTACCAAATTATTAATTTAAATGTAAGTACATAGTTGTTAAGGCCACTTAATATAAAGTGGGTCCAGTTATCCTATTTAAAATGTAATAAGTAGTGCAACTATTTCAATTAATTAAAGTAATGTAGCTGAATACACTTGATTACTTTTTGATTACTTTTCTAAATTTCTAACGAATGTTTTCAACTGTTAATCATTTTCAGACATTTAAACCAGGCAGGGTTAACCTTACAGTAGTACTAGGGCTGTGCAATATATCGAAATATCGCAAATATACATATCGCAATATGCATCTCGCTACGGCTTGCAATATATGGGCCCATGAACAAAACTCACACTCAAAGAGAAAATAACTCACTGCTCTTACCTAAATAACTTTTATTGCTTAAATAAGAATCAGTGCATATTGAATTCATAGAGTAAATACTAAGCAGTGTATTTTTCCTTTTTATTATTCAGTTCCTAAACTTGTTAAAATGACATTTTTATGTAATGCTAGAGTAAAACACTACGGTTCACTTTCAGAAGTTTGTTACATTTAATTTGTAATTAAATTATGTGATGCCGTTACATGTAACTAGTTACTCCCCAACACTGGAGACATGCAATGGTTCTGCTCTTGATTTGTAACCATATTCATTGGCATTTTAACTGCATGGACTTTCAAAGTGTATTTTTGTCTGGTTTTTGCAGAAGTGAGTGACATACTCAATTAGACCAGCTCGCACATTGCTAAAACAACAATTATGATATTATTGTAGACAATGCATATAGCACACGAGTACCCGAGTACCACAGTATTACTTTCTGATACCACTATTGTACCATAGTACTGTCACAACTCTTTTTGCAAGGCTGTTGTAGTTGAGTTTGATTTCATTTTGTTTTCTCAGTGGATTGGAAGTTCATATGTTTTTTCATTATTTCTTTCACAGAGCGGGTCCGCAAACCTGTGATAGAAATAGAGAGGAGCAGTAACCCTGATGTTGTGTATTTAAGATGTGGATACAATGAAACTATGATCTGGAAGAATTCTACTGGAGAAACACTGCAGGGCACAAAGAACCATCTGCTAGGAGAGACCATCACAGTCAAAAACACAAGAAATCCAGGCAACTACTACACATGCACACTCAAGAATGCTGTGAGTGAGGAAACCAGTGATCCGGTCTTTGAGAGAGATCTGTTTGATGGTAAGACAGTGAATTACTTCAGCATTAAATACCAAAGAAGAAAATCAGAGTCAGATCATTTTGTATGTTTAGGTGGTGCTGAGATGCTCTTTTCTATTTAGAAATTGTATTTACATTCAACAAATATTTGGACAATTGTCACACCAAAAATATATGAATGTCATTGTCTTAGACAGCAAAACATTGAAGCAAATGTTATTTATTTGAAGGAAACAGAGCACAAGCATATTTTAACAGCAGTACATTTAACAAAATTATTTTGTTAGGAGTTATTGCAGTCTGATGTAATTTATTTATCTTTCCCACTAAAATAGCAGTGAAATTCATACATTTTTTTCACTGTGACTTAAGTGTCCAAATACTTTACCACTGTATAGACATGGATTGTGAAGTTGCCATTATATCCAAGAATAGAGTCATGTGGTTGGAAGGGATGGAGTGCAATATAAGTGGGATTTTTTTTTACTTACTGCACAGGAAAGTCCTTTCAGAGATTTTTGATCAAGATTACAGAGATAAACATTATTAGTTTCATTATTTGTAATAAAACACAATATTGTTGCACAGTAAGAGTAGATGCATTAAAAATTCACTGAAAAGTAAATAGGGTCAAATTTGATTTTATGTTGGCATAATCATCTGAGAGCCTTAATTATTAAGCCTCAGACATTTGGGGTTCTGTGGTTGTTGATACTTTTAACCAATAAATCAGTAAGTTAGTAGATGTATTATGTTTCCTAGCAGTGCATTTGTTTATGAAGCCAATGTTCTCTTTCTTAAGAATCAAATGCAGGACATATCGTGGGGATTATAATTGGTGTCCTCCTCCTCCTCATCTTTATCATCTTCCTTTGTGTCTATCTATTCATGGAGTCCTTTCACAGTAGGTTTCCTATTATACTTATATAGTTTAACATTTTTTACAAATTTTGTTTTAAAGTAGTATTAAGTATGGGTTGTGTCCATGAATTCCACTATTATCTCCAACCTCTATGTAGACATTAGTGTTATTGTTGTGGCAACAGATTATTATTTAAGATTTATGTTAAGTTTATTAAGCATGTGTTCAACTTTAATTTTAGCCTATTTTACTAATTACATTCTTTAGAAACTTTAACACTGTGTGTTGGATAATATTGTGTAATGCTAAAAAATGTGATCATAGCAAAGTGTACATTCAACAACAATTGTATTTTAATCTGATAATTGATTAGTTTGTAATTAAATATATATATTTTTTTTTCTACACCAGAGAGTGTTAATAACTGCTGTCCGTGTATAGAAAGTAAGTTTATATTTGTTTGAGTGATTTTCTTCCAAAATAATTGTCATACCAGTAACTTCTTATAAAAGTACTTGATGCATGTCATTCAATGGATATTTAATGACTGTTTCTCTCTTCAGGTGCGTTCGGCCCCCTGGACTGTTGCTTAAAGATGAGTATGTCATTTTCATTTGTGTTTATGTACCATAAACTCTGCACTTTTATTACAATAATACATTTCAGTTACATTTCTAAATAACTGTCTGTGAGCAACATTGTTATTTCAGGAAACAAGCTGTTTTATTGAATAATCAAATGGCACTGATATTCAGATATGACATCAGATATTCGATGGACTTTAATTTCTTTAATCAATAATTTGTTTTAATATAAAATATCACAGATCTTATTTGAAAAGTGTATTTAGCTTTTCATAAGTTTTATTTTTTTCTCCAGGCATTCAGTAGGCATTTAGGCCTATATATATACAGTGGGTACGGAAAGTATTCAGACCCCCTTAGTAGTAGTAATTTGCTCTGTACCATTGTGCAAGAAATGGATAAACTCCTGAATCTTCTTTCTTTTTCACAAATGACACTGAAGGACAGCAATATAATGTAGCACCATCAGATAATAACGGTAAGATGTAATAAACTGTCATCTCTTGATACAAATATTCAAAAATATCTATGGCATGTTCTCAGTGAAGCTAATGTCATTACAGTTTGCAATTAAGCTATTTTTAATATGCAAGCCAGGTGGTTTAAATTTTAATGTTTATTATTAATGAATTATCAAGGTGCCGAGGAAAAGGGAAACACAGGCAAGCTAGGTAAGATGATAAAATTGTTGGTTTCTCATAGATTACATTAATAGACTTTACAATGATAAAGACTTAAGTTATACTAAAAAGGATAGTTCACCTAAAAATGAAAATTTGCTGTTAATTTACAAGTCATTGTCAGATGTACGTGACTTTTTTTTTTCAGTAGAACAGTGACGAAGGTTTTTAGCTGAAACTGTGGTCCTTGGTGATTCATAAAATGCAAGTCAGCGACTGCCCATTTTTGAGAATAAAAAATATATTTAATGCATCACAAAATTAATACCCGTGGCACATGAGGATGTATTGAGGACTTATGAAGCGAAACGATTGGTCTGTGTAAGAAACGAAACATTATTTACAACATTATTACCTGTAATCCATTCCAGAGCCTCGCAAATTAATCATTCTTTTTGGTGAACTAGTTGAATCAGTTCACCAAATTGGACTGAACCGTCTGAAACAGTTTGTGGCTCAAGCTGCACAGATCTACAAATTACACAAACAAAACGTACTTTTGGACTCCGACTCGAAATGAGGCAAAATAGCGGCATATGTGATCCTATGATGAATAAACTCATTCAGTGCTCCAGTTCCTCCACCAGTCACTGAACTGAGGAAACAGTTCCGACTCGCAGACCAATGAGCTGGTGATATGTGCATGCGTGAACTGAGCACTCGAATGAAGGGGTGAAATGTGTCACGGTTTCTGTTAGTTTGGACTTTGTTTCATCACCCTTTGCCTTAGTTCATTTGTTGTTGTGGTTATTAATTTGTAGTAGTATAGTAGTAGGGTACTAACGGGGCTAAAGGCTAAAGGCCTTTGATATTATTTTCATCTAAACCACTAGATGGCACAAAAACGTGGCGTAGCACTTTCCAAAACATCCGCTTTTCAAGATGCACGTGTATATTTGTCTGATCCTTGACGCGATCGCGCGCAGCAGCCCAAAGTTGATTCTGTGCTTACTTGATCTAATATTTTATGTTTTTAAAAATGTTGTAGATTTAAGTAGCAAATGAGAATCACTAAAATGAATGCTTATATGTTTTTAAATATATGTAAAAGTATGGTATTTGGGGTAAAAAGTGCCCCTGTTGTTGAGGCTAAAGGCGCAAAAGGCGCACCATGATAATTAATAGATGGCTGACTTTTCCATTTGTTGACATG